AAAAAAATTAATTACATTTTCTGAAGAATTTCATTTTTTGAAAGATTTCATTTTTTTAACAATCTCATTTTTTTAACAATGTGAATTTCATTCACAACTAAAAAATTTTGAGGATTCCTACTTATTTTTCTAGAATTCTGACTTTATTCTAAGAATTTCATTTTTTTCTCAGAATTTCATTTATTTCAGAATTTTTAATTATTTAAAAAATATGAATTTTTACAACTTTTCGAAAAAAGAAGAAATAAATCTGAACTAAGAAACATTAGGAAAGGTAAGAATAATAGTTTTAATAAAACAGTCACATGGGTGGTGTTACCTTCTCCCTGAAGGTCCTCCAGTCCTGCGCCGTGTCCTCCAGCACCGTCTCTCGGCCCCGGGCCACGCTCCTCAGGCGGGTCCAGCGCTGCCACACGGTGGTCATCGAGCGGCTGATGGTGGCCTTCGAGGCGTCGCTGCCCACCAGCTCCAGCTGAGACGCCTGCTCCTCCAGGAGGCGCAGCTTCTCCTGGAAGCCGTTCACCAGCGACACCAGAGACTAAAGCACAGAGAGGTAATGAACACAGTGCATTCATTAAAGAACATTATATATTATTACTCTGTTCACCAGCGACTGCAGCACAAACATTTTTTTTCAGAATATTGAATTTCCATGAATTCGGACTTTTCCTGAAATTTGACTTTTTCTCTGAATTTAGACTTTAGTTCTTCCTGTGTTTACCCGGTGTTTGCACAGCTTCTCCTCGGCCTCCTCGCTGGTCGCTGCCTTGGCGGTGGAAAACTCCGTCAGCTTCTTCTCCGCCTCGTTCATAAGCTCGATGACCGTCTGCCGAGCCTCCTGGTACGACTTCCACTGACACACACAGCTGAGGAGAAACACATTAAACACTGTTTACTATATTATTAACTAACTTTCTGCATTTAACATGTGCACTGCGGGTGAGTTAAAAATAGATTTGTATGTTCTTATATTCTGGATTGTTTCACAAAGGATTTCATTGTATTTTCACAAAAATTCAGAAAAATTGAAATTCGGAGGAAAAATGTCAAAAGTCAGAAAAAAACGAAATGCTCAAAAGAAAAATGAAAATCTTAGAAAAAAATGAAATTCTGAGAAAAAAATGAAATTCTGAGAAAAAAATGAAACTCTTGGAAAAATAAATAAATTCTCAGAACAAAAGGAAATCCTTAGGAAAAATTCAAATTCTTATAAAAAAGTAAAAATTCAGGGGAAAAAAAGAATAACACTTCTAATAATAAAACAACAGGTGTTTATTTGTACCTCTGCAGGACGTCCTGGTGGCACTGCAGCTGGTCCCGGACCTCGCCCCCTCTCTGCCGGGCCGACTCCAGGCTGAGGAGCAGCTGCTCGCGGGCGGTGGGGTTCACGAGGCTCTGCAGGGGGGGCAGGAGGCTCTGGAGCTCCTGCAGGTGGAGGAGGAACTCCTGCTCCGTGTTCATGATGTCCTCCTGCTGACGGAGACACTCCTCGTAGTTTTCCACGTCCACGCCAAGCCCCGCCTCCTGCAGGAAGGACACGGCGTCTTCCAGCCACTCACAGGCCGCCTGCATCCTGAAGTGGTACTGCTGGCAGAGACCCAGAGCCTCCTCCAGGGTGATCTACACAGAAACATTATCATATTGAATATCTTGGTAGAAAATACTAAGAATTCTGACTTTGACCTCAGAATTTCATTTTTTCTCAGAATGTTGACTTTCTTTCTGAAATTCATTATTTCTGAATTTAGACTTTTAAAAAAATAATTTAGACTTTTTTTCAGAATCTTTTTTTTTTTTCAGAATGGCGAACATGCCCCCCCCCTCTCACCTGCTTGGAGCTCAGAGCCTTCTGTACGTCCGCCTGCAGTTTGGCCATCTCCTGCAGACTGTTGTCCACGTGTCCGGGCACCAGCTCGTTGGCACCGATATACGTCTGTTTCTCCCGACTGCTGAGTGCCGCCACGATCCTCAGCCTCGACTGCACCTCCTCCTGCATGATCTGCTGCTTCCGGATCTCCTCCTGCACCTTCTCCACCCTCACATCCACGATCACAGCGCAGTCCAGCTCGTCCCTGACCCTCTGAAGCCACTCCAGCGTCCGCTCCATCTCCGTCTCAAAGTCCTTACTCTGCACGAAGCGGGTCTCGCACTCTTCGATCAGATCTCCTACGGCCGCCTGCAGGGACCTCAGCTCCTCCTGCCACAGCACCACCTGCTCCTTGGAGGCATCCTGTGCTCCCTGCTCCACCCGAGGAGCCAGAGTGTCCATCTGCTCCATCAAACGCGACAAATGAGAGTTAGCGCTCTGCAAACTCCCGGCCAGAGTGTGGTAGTTCTTCAGCCGTTCCTCCGCGGACTGAGTCTCCTCGTTCACTTTCACCAGCTGCTCCTTGGTGGCCTTCAGCTGCGAGTCCACCTGCAGGGCCATGGCTTTGTGGTCCTCGAAGGACTCCAGCGTCTCGTCCAGATGCTCCACCTTCTGCTCCACCAGCCTCTTCAGTCCGTTGTACAGACTCACCAGCGTGGTCATCTCCTCGGGGCGCCAGGGCTGCCCGGTGCTCCTGAAGCCCTCCTTCTTCTGGTTCAGCTCACTGACGGCGAGTCCCAGACGGATCAAATCGCTCTGCAGGGATCTGTAGTCTCTTTGCAGACTCTCCACCTCCTCCGTCTGCAGGCCCACCGGCTGCTTCCCCAGGCTGCTGAACTGCTCCTCCAGCTCCTGCAGGGCCTTGTGGGTCACGTCTATGAAGGAGGTGTACTCGTTGCGGGTGAGGATGGCCTGCTGGATCTTCTCCTGCTTCTCCCTGGCGAGCGCGAGGATGCTGTTGTACTGCTGCGGCAGCGTGTTCAGCTTCTCGTCCAGGTAGCAGTGGTCCAGCTCGTTGAGACTGGGGAGGATCTCCTGCCCGGCGCGCTCTACGATCAGCAGCAAGTTCTCGTTCTCCATCGCCTGCTCCACGATCTGCTCGTACTTCAGCAGCTGCGCCTCCAGCTCGCCGTCTCCCACCATCAGGTTGATCTCGGGGAAGGTGATGATGTCGGCCTGTTTGATCCACACGCAGATCCTCTCCAGGTCGGACTTGAAGTACTTCCTTGAGACCAGAACCTTCTCCAGCTCCTGCAGCTTCTGTCCGCAGCGGTGCAGCGTTTTGTCGAAGATGTTCTGGAGCTCCTGCAGCTTGGAGAGGATCTCGTTCCTCTCCTCGTCGCTGGCGCCCCTCATCAGGTCTCGGCCCTGCGCCCACAGGGAGGTCAGCTCGCTCTGGTAGGCCTTCAGGCTGCTCTGGATGTTCCTGCAGGTCCTCACCTGTTTGGACAGGTCTTCAGGTAACAGAGCAACGTGTTCCTCAGCCTGAGCCTTCTTCTCGTTCTGCTGAACCCAGGAGATCGACTGCCCCACCGCCATCAGGAACTGACTCCGCTCTGTGAACGCCTTGCTCAGGTGCTTCCTGCGCTGCACCACCTGCAACACAGAGACATGCATTAGACAACCGTGAAATATACATTCTGCTTCACTGCTGATGTCCATCACTGCAGAGCTGCAGGACCCTGCAGGGTAGCCGCTCCCTGCTTCCCTCCACCTCCTCACCTTCACGCTCAGGTTCTCCACCTCGGCCTGGGTGGAGCTGATCAGCTGTTGGAGGCGTTGCCGCTCTCTGAGTCCGAGGCGGGCCAGAACCCGGTCAGAATCTGCCGTGGCCTGATCCAGGATCAGCTGTTTGGCCTCCAGTTCGCTGCAGACGCTCAGGTGATCGAACAGGAAGCTCTGCGCCAGCTCCGGGGGCGGGCTCATCTTCATGGCCTCTGATAGGGCGGGCTGCTGCTCCTCCGCCCAATCACGCGCCTCCCTGAGCCGGGCCTCCACCTGGCCCATCTCCTCCAGCGTCAGCACGGAGTCCTGGATCTTCCTCTGGATCAGGCTCTGCATCTGAGCCCAGCGCTGCTCGAAGTGGCTGATCTGCTCCTTCACCAGCTCCTTATCGTCCAGGTTCAGCTGCTGCACCACCTTCTGCTTCTGCTCCTTCAGGGCCTCCAGGGTTCCCTTCTGCTCCTCCAGGGCCACCGCCAGCCTCCGCAGGGCCTCCAGGTGCTGAGAGGAGCTCTCTGCATCCGTCCTGGAACACACACATGGAAATAAAGACCCTCTTTCCTCCTGGACCTTTGTCTTCATGCTCTTAATGTCTTTTCTTTCTGGAAAGCACTTTGAGTTGCCTTGTGTTGAAAGGTGCAACATGAATACACTTGCTTTGTCTTTTCTTAATTAGAAGCTAAGGTTCCTGCAGGGTCTCAGACTCACCTGGCCAGGTTGTCCCAGTCTCTGGAGACCTGTTCGAACAGCGTCTCCACAGCAGAGATGCAGAGATGATACTCTGCGGCTCGCTGCAGATCCTCCTCCCTCTGGACCTGCAGCTGCTGGGCCTGGCTGCGCAGATCCAGCCAGCGCAGACGCAGGCGCTCCAGCTCTGCCAGTTCTGGAGACTCCTGTCCCTCCGTCAGTCTGCTATCTGTCTCCTGTCCCTCCGTCAGTCTGCTATCTGTCTCCTGTCCCTCCG